GAGTAAAGCACTGAAACCCAGGCACCCAATAATATCCACCTATTATCTCGGTATAGGTAATATTACACACCACTTAAGAAAATTGAATTACTTTTATTAAAAACTGAGCAGCTTTTACTTACTTATGAGAATTATGCATTAAAGCCTTTTGTAAGTGAAATTAAATTACTTTTTATTGAGATATATTAAAATACTTTCAATATAGTTTGTGTTTTTATTTGTACGAGGCTACCGAGTGTTTTCATACATACAACCTGCCAGCCATCTCATTTATCACTGTCTTTTTAACGACAATAGTTAAATTTTTCACTCATGTGAAGAGTAAGTAGTGACTTTTCTGAGTCATTGACCTGAAAGCCATGGGGGTTGTGTATCTTTGTGTGTATATGTGTATGTGTGTATAAAAATGTCTCCCTCTGAGTTAGGTAATTTTCCTCCCTAGTAAGGATAGTCTAACAGAATTCATTAAAACTCTCTAGGTGTCATCAGAGTACTTTTTCTTTTAACGAAAAAGACTCAAAATTGTAGCTTTACCATTTCCAACTGCTATCAAGGTTAAAGTGGAAATAGTAATTTGACTGTGAAAAAGGCAAATAATGTAAAATAATTTTGGAAAAATGTAGAGTAATGAGTTTGTTCATTTCTTTCTCTATTAGGAGAAACCAATAACCGGATATGCCCCACTACCATTTTGAATCACACAGGCTTGCATAAAATGTCTGATGTCCATTATTATTACGTTTCACCAGTTAATGCAGCTTCCGGCCCCCTGTGCTTTTTCGTTTTTCTTTTTATAACCAAGAAAGCTTCCTGTGGTCCAGCACTGAAGGGACAGGGACACTACGATGATCTGGTATCTAATTTTAAAAATACAGTTATCTTGAGCTATAATGACATGTGACAATATTTCAGATTCCAAACTCTCATTCTTAAATGAATATATTCTTGTATACTCTAAAGAACTTTTATCTGCATGTGAAAAGCTGTAAAATCAAACTAGCAATCACTGGAATGTGAGAGGAAGCTGAGGAGTTCTAGCTGGGAAATTACTGCAGCAGAAGACTAGTTTTGGGGTTGCTTTTACCAGAGTGTAGAATAGTATTTCTCAACCTCACGGCTATTAACATTTGGGACTCGGTAATTATTTATCATGGAGGGCTGGCCTGTGCCTTATAGGATGTTCAGCAGCATCCCTGCCTTCAAGTTCCTGGAAGTGGGTGGTGCCCAACCCCTAGTAGTGACGACCAGTGTGTCTCTAGGTATTGTTAAACGCCAGGGGTAGGGGATCTCTCTGAGCAGAAATAGCACCCTCAGATTTGCAAGTATGTCGCCTGCATGTTACTGCTGCAGTTAGAGAAAACTGGTTTTCTGGGAATAAAGTCACTGGAGACTTGTAGCTAATCCAGAGTTCCATTTCATTCATGTTCAGAGCAAAATATTCCTTTCAATCTCTGCAGACTCATTACTGCTGAGTCCTCTTCCCGGGTGTCAAGGCTGTTGAAGACCAAGTGGGGAGTAAGCAACCAGCCTGGCAAACCTGGAATTGGAGTACACGGTCCTCAGAGAAGTTTACTTGGTGCTGTTATAGTGTCTGATGAAATTCCGACTCCCCAGACTCAAAGGAAGAATAATTATAACCATGGTCTTCCAGGTCTTAGACTCTGGACCTCAACTTGCTTTGTAAATATCATGGTTCTTCCACAGTGGGATGAACAAATGAGCCAAATTCCATGCCAAAGTGACCTCAACTGTAAGATAATACTATTAGTTTCTCAATGAGGCGGGGTCAAAATGAGTCAGTGCAGGTTAGAGTGTAAGTTTTCAGTACGAAGTGCTCACTAATTGTGCGAGCGCTAAGCTATTTTATTGCTAAAGACACACATGGAAAATGATGAGCTCGTAGTAAATGCCGGTGCCGTGTCAACTGGAATTTTACCAAATATCAGCATCCCCCAACTGCCATTTGTCATCCATTTCTCACACTCCACGTCCCTCTCCCATCAAGTGGGAAAAGACCCACTTCTCTCATTTAATTCCATTCTTTTAAAGGTAAAAGTGGAACAGTATTGATTCTCAGTTTATAGTTGGCAAAAACAAATGGGTAATAAATATATGCCCTCTAGACTGATTGTACCAGAGAGGCATTTCACATTTAAAATATCGATTGGAATCTGCATAATTGATTGTAAAATTCAGTTAAGCATGCTTTTTCATCACACACCTGCATACTGATAAAGATTCAAAATTCAGTTAATCTGGAGAACACACAACATATACATGTACTCTCCCTTGTATGTGGGGCACACATACTCCATGTATGTTTGTGAGCACACACACACACACACACTGTAGTCTTCACAGTACATAAAAGGGCTTTTGCTATTGCTTGTCTAATGGGGTATCATCAGAATTCCCTTCACCACTCCATGGATGGAATGTCTTTTTATGTATATACTCCTTAATACTTGAATTACAAGCAGATTGGCTTCTGTTAGTACTTAAGCCAATCAATAGACATGCAGAAACTGTCTTTCTAACAGTTAGCTAAAGAATTTAAGGTACAAAAGAAGAAAAAGTGGACTCAAAATGTTAATGAGACAATTTAAAAAAGCCAAAATGCTTTTTAGGCAACTGCTTGTGAAAAGCACTTAAGAACAAATTATGTTCAGGCAGAAAGAGGTTCATAAAATCTCAGGTGAATCTAGTAGTTTTTGGATTCATTTAAAATGTTAAATTGCTTACTGTCAGTTAAAACATTCAGGACAATAACCCACATGATTTTTACTTACCAATATATGCTAAATACTAAATATGAGAAGAGTATTTTTTTCTGATTGTAATAAAAATTGGAACATCATAATAGATAGAAAAGACAAGTACTTTAATGATAATACAGAATGATTATATAAATTATGGAGCATTAGCTAAATAAATTGTATATAGTATCATGGTAAACAGGAATTAATTATATTTTTCCCCTCTCCTTGTACTTTATTAAAAACATATTTGAAAAAAGGACAGAAAAAAACTACATCTATATACTTTAATAGATAACCTTATATACATATTATATACATATTAATATATATATATACATATAATATATACATGTAAAAACTACATCTATATACTTTAATAGATAATCTTATATACATATTAATATGTACTTTTGTGTTTCTGTACGTTTGCATATATATGTGTGAAGGTTCATAACCAAATACAAACTTACGAATGGTCCATCTATGCTAAAAATTAAAACATTACCAAGTCTGTCTCATTAACCTGTGCACTCTCCTCTTACCTCGATTCTGCCTTCCTACAGAGGTAAACATAGTCTTCAATTTTGATTTTCATTTTTTTCTTAAAATAGTACTTTTAAAGACATGTTTCCAAGTAACATATTGCTTAGCTGAGCTTTTTAAGATTCTCAAAAGTATTCACATGTATTATATGGTCTTCTGTAACTCAGTTATTTTCACCAGAAATTTTGTTCCAAAGATCCAACCTTTTAGTTTAGTATTGCTTTAACTCCTTTTGACTGCTGTATATTATTTTACTGTGAACAGGAGTGTGATTCATTTAGTTGTTGTTTTGCCATTGGACTATGAATGGTTAATGACTGTTTTTGCTTTTCTTAGCAAAACTGTACATTTTGGGTGCAGAAATGCAATCTTTTGAAACCCAGTTTCTTACAACTTTTTCTTTTCATTGGTGACGCAGAAATGTGTGTGTGCACGCACACACACACACACACACACACACAGTTATTCAGGTACAACACCCATAGGTAAAAAGTCAAAGCTCCTTGAGTCCTTGGTTCATCATGAACAGGCTCTGCCCGGAAGGACCTACTTCTCCATAGGACTGGTGGAACTTGGGTTATGTAAAAGTTCAAATGTATAAGTTAACTATAATTTTGTTTTTGATAAAGCATCTCACCATGTAGTTCAGAAAGCTGGTCCTGAACTCACTCTGTAGTCCAGGCTGGCCTCAAACTCACAGTGATCCTCCTGCCACAGCCTCCAGGGTGCTTGGATTTCAGGCAAGCGCCACCACACCCAGCTATAAATTGTTTTTAGAAGCCATCACATGTGTTTATGCTCCAACAACAGTATTGGAGCACTGGTCTCATTTTCTCCATGATCTGGCATCAGCTGATTTCTTATATTTTGCCAACTGACTGTCTGAAAAATAGTGTCCAATTGTAGTGCTGATTTACGTTTCTTTTTACTAAGTTGAATATCAATTTACAATTACAATTACTGTGCCATGAAGTCTCTCGTTGAGCCTTGCACCATTTTTTCCAGTCTGTTTCTTAATTGAATTAAAATGGTTTTTGTTTTATTTGCAACAATGATGGTACACTGATTCATATGTTTTTTTACATACTTCTGGTTTTTCTTTGATATGTTCTGCAAACTTGCATATATATCTATAAAATTTCATGTTTCCAAAGCCACTCATATTTCATATATTTTTATGTACTGTATACATTTTGTGATTTTTTTATTTTACATCTTTTAGAAATCATAGATTCTTAATTATAATGTATTTAAAGTTACACCTATATCTTTTCATTGATGATGATGGGTTTTTGTTACTTGTTTAAATAAACCTTTTGGGGGGCTGGGGATTTAGCTCAGCGGCAAAAGCACCTGCCTGGCAAGCGCAAGGTCGTGAGTTCGGTTCCCGGTAACGGAGAAAAACCAAAAACCAAAAAAAAAAATAAATAAATAAATAAATAAATAAACAAACCTTTTGCACCATAGTTGAGAATATAATTTTGTAACTTCCATGTAATTTTTGTTCTCTCTTTCTATATCCTCCGTCTTTAAATTCTTTTTCCTTACTAAACTTATTAAGCCATCCATAGAGAACCCTAGGGGATGCGGGATTCTAGTTTTTGATATTGTATTTGTTTATTTGTTTGTTGCATCTGTTGATTTCAAGGGAGCTGGTGGTGCTATACTAACCCAAATGTGCCGTTTTCCCCCCGGCAGATGATTGTGATGATCCTCTTGTATCTGCTTTGCCTCAGGCATCCTTCAGCAGCTCTTCTGAGCTCTCCAGCAGCCATGGTCCTGGCTTTGCCAGGCTGAATAGAAGAGAGGGTGAGTCTGTTTTTCCTCTGGTTCATGGTGAATCACATTAATTTTCCATTCTGTTTTAATAGAAAAGAGATATATTAGAAAAACATTGTAATTGATATATCATCAAAATAAGTGTATTTATAAATAAGGCAATGGTTAAAACTCATGAGATATATATGACATATAGATTCCACCTGGAACAGCAAAGTGATTCTTCTTATTTGAAAATCCAGTATAATCATGTCCACATGCAAAGGATTGATTTTCCTCAATCTGAAAAGACTTTTGTGTATTTTATAAAATACATTTTCTACAACAATGTGCATTGTGGATACTATACTGATGAAAGCTTAACTGGCTTTCTATTTCATATTAAAAAAGTTTGCAAGACATAATTTTTAAAGATGTTAGTTACTTAAAATAATAGTCTCTCAGTTTGCTTAATTCTCAATGTGGTTGACATGATTTTCTTTGCTGTTGAGGAATACGAACTTCATAAAGCTTTTGTGCTCTTTTAGGAACACTCTGTTCATGTTGTTTGCTATCTCTTAGGTAGGTTGGGTTTGAGGTCTTGTTTAAAAGAAAGCAGGGATAATGAAATGCCACTTGCTGTAGAAATAAGAGAGTTTCAAAACATTGTGTTCTTAGTGTCAGTATTATAATGACCACTTTTCATAAATGCTAAAAATCATCTGCACACACATTGAGGGAAAGTGGCTCAGTGATACTAAAATAGAGAATATTTTTAACAGGCACAGAAGCAGAGACCAGAATTACATATTTTTAAAAACATGTTTCCCTTATTCATTATCTCTTTCTCTCATGCCACATTAGTTAGTCTTTCCTTTAAATTTATCCTTGGTGTTACCTTGGTGCTGTTGCTTAATGTTAAGCATAGTGAACTTTGGATGTAACACGTACATTGTGTATGCATGCGTGTGTGTGTGTGTGTGTGTGTGTGTGTGTGTGTGTGTGAAATTTTTCTATCTGGTCCACATTATACTTAATATATAATGCATCGTTATAATTTTAATACAGACATATATATAACACTTTTACATGATTTTGTTTGTTTATTTAGAAACTTTATCTCAAAAGAAAAGAAATTTTATCTCATATTATTTGATATACCCACTTATTTATTCTTTTGAATGTGAAGATACTGAGTGGGAAATATGGAGGCATTTGAATGTGCTGTGTCCCTATTAAGTACCTTGTAGTGACAGTTGTTGGTCACATAGGACAATCTCTTCCTATTTGGAATTTGGAATCCCTGAGGGACCAGGCAAGCAGACTAAGACTCTCTTAGTCCCTTTGAGGGCTCTTCCAGATCCTGTGGCCATGGTTCTACCAACAGGAATGCTGGGATCACAGCCCTGGTCAGAGAGTAAAGTCCGGATCCCATGTTCCTCTTTAGAATAAAGCGGAGTGTAACAGTCAGCAGCACTTCATGTAAGTCACAATAGCTTTCATGTAGTGTGGCCCACCAAAGAGAATCAAAATTTACCTACGCACCTTTATTTTGTTTGTTGAGGTCCAGTAAATCAGAAAAAATATATTTCATTAATTGGATCCATCGTATTTTTCACTAATTTATGTACTCGTCAGGAGTATCCATCAGTGGGGTTCATTTTTATTCTTAATTTGTTTCTATGGCTCTTGCTGAAACACAATATCAAACTTCATGAATCTCATTTGCATGTTAATGAAACTGAGAAACAAAACAGGATCATTTTAATTATCTTTTCCTGGTTGTCAACTGACTTGATTACATTTTTCTTTTTATTTAGTTTTTCTTTTTTTTCCTATTAATTACATGAAGTGCTCATAAAGGGATGTCAGATTTTGAGTGATTTATTGTGAAAGGCTATATATTACTTCTAGTACTGAAACATCCTTTGTAGTATTTAAGAATGGAAAAGGTGTCCAGGCAAGTCACTAGGTTATATATACCTAACCCAGATCAACAACTGAAGATCTCACTATCCCAGACACAGAGTAACATTTTTCCTGAGAAATAGGGAAAACTGGCCAAGAATCGTCAGGTAGTGAGGGAGAAACAACTCATGTGTTTGACAGCTGTGGATAAGCAGCGCCGGGGATAACCCTGGGAGGATGATAGGTCCCCTGTAAGGAGGGCAGGGAACCAGGAATAGGCTAGTGTTCCACATGACTCCATTTCAACCAACAGAAAGGACGAGAGATTTACAACTATCAGTTATACTAATTTATGCTAATTTAATTTTTTCCATGAGTGCTATTGTGGGTTGACTTGCATCTCCAAAAAGGATACACTGAAGTCCTATCCTGAGACCTGTGGATGTGACCTCATCTGGACATTGGGCTATATGCCATGTGATCAAATGAAAAGAGGTTATACCACATAAGGATGACCCTTAAACCAATGACTAGTCTCATTCTGAGACCCGCAGAGACAGAGAGAAGGTATGTGAAGATGGAAGCAGAAATCAGAGAAGTGCACCTGTAAACCAAAACATGCCAGTGTTTGAAAGCAACCAACGGCTGGGATGAGGCAAAGAAGGATGTGTCTAATAAGCCCACCAAGGGAACATGGCGCTACTGACCAGCACCTGGATTTCAACACCTTCTAGCCTCTAGAACCGTGGGAGAATAACTCTGTTCTTTAGAGCTGCCCAATTTCTGGTACTTTGATATGGCAGTTGTAGGAAACTAGTGCAAGTGCTACTAAGTAAATGGCTTCTTTTTCTTTAAATAACACTCCAGAGGATTGTTTAACTTGAATAATTTTTATGAACAAATGATTTACTTCTTTTGCATGGGGAAAATGCACATCAATTTGAACTTGAAAGATTTTATGGCTCAGAGAAGTAAAATCCAATATTAATTCTAAGCAACACAAACAAAAAAATAATCACTGCCAATCCTGACAATATAATGGAATCAAATCTCTCTGCCTTTGCATTATAGCTCTCATTTATCCAGTTTTGGTTTTCAAAGTTTCAGTCAGCATGGTGTGAAATATCAAATGCAAAGTTTCAGAAATGCATAACTCCTACATTTTAAATTGCACGACTTTCTGAGTTGCATGATGAAATATCATGTTGTTCCATGTTCAACATGAATCATCTGTGTGTCCAATGTGTTCACATCATATGCAGTACCTGCCCATTAGTCATTTAGAGTCATCTTGGTGTCAGATTACCTGTCACAGTAAGGCAGTGCTTGTGTGTAAGTCACCCTTGTGTGGTAGCCTAGTGCTATATTGCAATGCCCAGGTCTTTTGACTCACTTCATCTTATTGTGTCAGCACTGTGTCATCTCAAGGAATCACAAAAGAAAAAAGGGTGGGATAGTGCAATAAAATATTGAGAGAGCATATGCATATAACTTTTATTACAATACACTGTTACAATGGTTGTGTTTTATTACTAATTGTCAACCTCTTTTTGTGCCTAATTCTGAATTAAACTTCATCACATGCATATATGCACAGAAACAAGCATAGTGTGCATGGGATTAGTATTACTGGGAGTTTTAGGCATCTATGGGGGTTTTTAATATTCTCTGAAGATAAGGAGAAGCACTGTATAATTTTCCATTGTTGAGGCTTCAATATTGTTTGAATTTTAATGGGCTACTTAAAGTGTCTTAGTTACTTTTCTTGTTGCTGAGACAAAATAGCTGACACCAAAATTAAAGGAGGTAAGGTTTATTGTAGTTCACAGTTGGTAGAGGTTTTAGTTCATGGTTGGCTCGGCTCCGCAGCAGTTTGGCATGGCAAATGGGGCATTGCGGAGGAGAAATAGTTCATGGTGGACAGTGGGCAGTAAAGCTGAAAGCAGCAAGCAGCGAAGTAGAGAAGCAGGAAGCAAGTAAGAGCAAGAGCAGCCCTCTTTCTGTGCCTTATAGTTTGTCCAGGTTACAAGCCCTAGGGCAGGTAGCACTCACACCTTGAATGGGCCTTTCCATTATCCACCCCCAGAATTATGCCAAACCAATCATTGGGCTGATTTACTAATCATGCATCCTTGATCTCAGCATCATACACTCTAGACCCAGCCACCTCTGAAAAGCCCCACCTATGATTGCATGAGGCTTTGGTGGGACATTAACCACTAATTATAACATTAAGCATAGTTTGACTTGTAGTATTATCAATGTAGATTTCAGGCAGGTGCTGGTGTACCATTTGATAGTCCACGTGTGTTCTGAGGATGGAATATAAAGAAGACAGATTTTGTAGGACTGTTGCTGCGGTTGTAATATACTCCTGATGAGAGTCTTTATTTTCATGCATTTGGGAACATTGGAAATACGTTATTGCAAATGAGTTACTGTGATAGACTTAGGTATAGAGGTAAAATAAGGGAGCAATAAAGAAAATGATTGTGCATAGTAAAAATAAAATATATATACGATAGTTTGAGTATGAGTATAAACATGTAGATATACTTGTGTTTAATTATATAGCAGTTTGCTTCTACAACTGACAAATACTGAGATTTCTCTAATCTATTTTGTAAGATTAGAATATTTCCTGTTGATGCTAAACCTGTAATATTTGTCTATATTTTCCCATTGTTTATTTTTTAGTAAAAATTGAGTCCTTCTACTTGTTAAGCAATGTTTTCCTCATACTTATAGAATTCGTTGCTGTAATCAAATACCCATCTATAGAGACGTTAGCTTATTGAATAACTGACATAAACAACTTGCATTCTAAGATAATACCTGTGGTATGTGTAATTATACCACTCATTGTAGAATTGCTTTCATTTCTCTTGTCCTACATCATTATGTGCATTTGCATATAACCATTACGTTGAAATAAAGACCCAAAGCAAATTTCCAAGGTATGCATGATGCATGCTGGTGCTTTACATCTCCAGGGATAAAAAGAACAGGGGCTTCTTTTGAGGTGAATGTTTCCTGCTGTTAAGGCAGCATGTCATATATTTCATAATAATCACATTCTAAACACGACCATATGAGTATATTTAATAGCCAGTACCTTATGAAGAGAAGAACGGGAGATAACT